GGACGGCGTGGCGTGGGCGACAAGTATTCGATGATATCTACAAGATAGTTCTTAGCTAGGATCCATTTGTATCACAGGCAAAGTGACTGTTACGTACTTTAAATTGAATATTCGTATTCGAAGATTTTTTCCCTCAATAATCAGTGGTAATTGCAGTCAATCTTTAAAACATATCCCCGTAATAAAACATCTTTGTGTATTGATACACGGTAATCACTTAACATTAGGTGAACCGCCAACTCACTTCAACCGACAACTATTCACGTAAAAAAAAGCTCAGACAACTGTTCGCAAAAGATGCTTAATATTTAGTCGCTATAGATTTTACAAACAACGGCAGCCAAGATTTGGATTAATCAGTGCTGAAGACTAACTGAAAGTCGGCAAAACAGTAATATTGTTTTGTACTTTTAGGTGGTAGGGCCACGCAGCAGCCCCGGCTGTTGCACGAATGGGCACGCCCGTCCCGGGTAAGTACCACGACCTCACAGAAGACCAGCGTAAAGTGGAAGTATGACAAATACTTTCACGTTTCGTCTGGTGAGTGAGGTAGCCGGAGCCCAATTTTCAAAAGGTTGTCAACGCATCTGTAACCCTCGGGTGTGGCAGATGTCCATGGGTGGCGGTATTCACTTAAGATCAGCTGAACCGTCTGCTCGTGACAAATTTTCACATAAAAAAAAACTTCCGCTGTCGCTTTAAAGAGGTATAATGTTATTCCTCAAAGTTCTATAAAAATTAACCGTTTGAGGATGAAGCCCAATTCTCTAAATAGACAATTAAACTATTATTACCCGACTGCAAGCGAATGAGGGTTATGTCTTTCGAGTGTATGTATATATAATATATATTATAATTGTTTGGCACGCTCTGCAACCTGAATGGTTTGATAGATTCGAGCTTAAGAGGTGTCGTTAGATTCGTATTTATTGTGAGATTGACACTGGGTATATCAAAATAAAAAATTACACAGAAACGCAGTCGGGTTTTTTGGTTTTTTTTTAATATTTTCACCTTTGCATGAAAGTTACGGGTTAGAAGCATCCTCGTGTAATTTGCGGTCGGACTATAATGCGAACATCGATATTATCTCCATCGCAATACGCTAAGTGAGATACTCTGTATCGAATTCGAATAATTAACAGACGGCGGCGAATACTTAGCAGCTGCCGATGTCAATATAAATAAAAACATGTTATAGTTTGCCCAACATCATCAAGTTGCTACATAGCGCCGTTACACGTTATCGTATAAGAAATATGTATCGAGTGCAAGTAAAAATGTAAACTAAAATAGAATTACTTAGTCATGCTTTTTGGACGATATACACTAATAGAACATTCGATCAATGTAATACAAGTAGTTTTAATTATTTTTCAAGGGCGGGCTGCTCAAGGTGTTCCTTATCACACAAGGAACTACGCTTTAGTTACTTTTGTTCACCAATATAAACGCGTTGACGAAAACTCATGTAGATAAAGGAGAATAAATCGGGCGCTGCCATGTACTTAATAATATATGCAACAGCTTTGGCACGGAGTAATGATCTAGTCCAGGGTTGACCAACTTGTTTCTATGAAGACTTCTGATCAGATTAAAAAAAACTATTTTAGGATTTATCGCAGTTCTGCTTTTAATTTAATTAAACGCGAAATTCAGTAAATTAGTTTAATTTGACTATACATTACATTACTTATAACATACAAACATTACATTTAAAAGTAAAATAGTTTTATTGCGTAAACAAAACCAGAATTCATTACTTTTTATCTTAATAGCTTCACAACCAATACACTGTCATAGGCGTAGTATCAAATGAAGAGACGATATTCTGTTATTACTATGATAACTATTCGTCCCTGACCGAGTAAATTTTGCGAGCGCGGGTTGACCACCCTGACGAATGCCTTATTCGACGCGAAAATAAAATACATACTGCGATATACGTACCGTGTGTATACTAGACTAGACATTATATTTTAACGCAGTGTTTGTGAAGGAAAGCTGTGTACTTATATGTACATTCACTCGGCATCGCACGCCGAGTCGTGCGAGTACACCGAGGATCGAGCGGTCTCGACGTGAAATAAGAGCCGGCCGCGGATATAAACAGTGGTCAATTACAAGGGGGCGGCGGGCGTCGGTGGCGTTCGGAAACAATCGAAGCGGCGCGATGCGGCAGTATACCGGCCTGTAATAACTCTAATGGCGCGATAAGATACGCACAAGGTGTACACGGTGTACGCGCACAGGCTGTGGCAGGGGTGGCAAACAATTCCGATACTTTTCGATCGCTTACGAAATCTCGACCAGAAAATCGTATGGACTATATGGATAATTTAGCGCCCTGTACTGTGTTCTAAATAATTTTTCACTTATCTACTCGAATCATTTCTTCGATTTAAAGTATATCTTACGAACATAAATGTTGACTATACCTGGAATATAGTGTAATCGGCTATTTTTACTATGTTATACTTGATACGAAAAAGATTAACAGATTGAAATCAAATATTTATTTTAAGAAGAACACAAGTCGTTTAACTATTAGTTAGCTATTATTAAAAAAATTATTTCGCGTACTTACATTATCACAACGTCGAGATTATAACAAAACGGATGGGACAAAAAATAAAACGCTGCATAGTTTCGTTGATCATCTAATAAGAAGGCGAATCACCCATTCAATTTACCTACCTACAGCTTTTAAAGGATACATTTTCCTTGTCCTCCCACAACATTCCAGTGCCCATTGCTTACAATTCCAAGTCAGAACTATGTGCCGCCGCAATAATAGCAGCGTTGTATAACGTCCAATATTTCGCATCGACTTTCGCGATACGCTTCGTGCGACGCGCGGTGTGTAAGCGGAACGCACACAAAACCCGGGTTACCGCGACACGTATCGAGGGTCGATAGTTTTGACAGGCGATGGCATCTCTTACGGCTTCCTGCCGCGGCTCGGTATCACCGTCGACCAGTGGGACCAGTTTACGCCGACAACCATGTAAACGATTTATTCCAGGGTCTCGTTTTGCATTGCCCGATCGGGCGCCAGGGCTGATTCGTAAAGTTCATCGCAACGGTAATAAAGTCTAGTGCAGACATTTATATTGCACAACTTCTTAAGTTTATAACAAATTCCACAAACGAATATAGAAAAAAAAACATATTCCACGCATGAAATATATAACGACTTGACTGAAACGGATAGGAAGGACTTTAAAAAAGTTATCGTCAGTAATAACAGCAATATTGATGATCTAAATTATAACGTAACGGAATATTAAAATTTAATTTATGAATTCTCTGAAATTTAATAAACAGAATTGCAGTAAAGCAAGGCATTTGTTACACCACTTGGGAACAGGCTTACAACAGTAGCTAATCGAGTAACTATCGAAACCCGCTTGGCGGGTTGTACCGATGCTGTATATCAAAGATCTTTGAAATTGGATTGTGTCACGGACAAACAAAAACCCACCACGTGTCGCGGCGCCCTAAGCGCTGAGTGCTCGGTCAATTGTGTTCTCTCGTCAACCCTATCGTGGCGCGCAGTTGTCGCGGGGCTTTATTAAACGAGGCAAAGCCAAGTCGCCCGTTGGACCGGCTTATCCCTATACCCCGTGCGTCCTTTGCGACGCGCATTTAATACGCAATAATCCTGTTCCCGCTCGCTACGAGCAGCGCGATAAATTTACGGATCCGCTATAAGCCGTCGTCAAAGCGGAGTGCCAATTAAAAGTTGACGAGAAGATTGACGAGCTTCGATTTGTGTCCGATGCCGGAGAATGTATCAACTTTTTAACATTCTAATGATCATACAACGAATTAAAACGTTTATCGAGTATTTGATACATCTGAATGATTTTTGTTAATCGCATTGCTCAACGATAGGCAAATCAATTTCTAAAAAGCGATAAAAACAAATTATTCTGTTATTTATTCGTTCGTACCTACCGAAACAAAAATTATTTTTATGATCTAACGTAATCACTGGTCTCTTTATTAACATGCTCACACCCCGAACCACCTTTCAAGTAAAGTCCGTGTTAGGGACAAACGAACCCGATAGAATGCGGTGCGCATTTAGCCATAATGGTAACTAAACAGAACCGGGTTAGTATTGCCGTGCGACGTGAGGGAGCCCTCATAAAAACGCGAACCAATAAGCCGGCGGGTCGCGGCTAAATTCAGAAGAGCGCCCTTATAAATATTTAATTGGCGCGTAAGCAGGCCCGATTGAACGTGTTTATTATGAACGCGGCCCGTATGGGGGCCGGCAGTGATTTATAAAAGGGACGATTGAATATGAGCGCAATGCATTGGTGCACATAATCGAGTGTAAGTGAGAGAGCCCGCTCGCAACTAGCCGCATTCCCGCACAGCCCTTACCTGTCTCGCTTTATGCATTACCGTATTATTGCATGCCGCTAAGCTAATATAAGAGAAATATGCATAGCAATGGTTCACGTTCGGCCGCTTGTTCGCTCATTATAAAACGTGTATAGTTTAGACAATGAGATCGACAGATAAAAAATTAATAGGAATATATTATATACAAAATCGGAATCTGACCCATGTTTAAAATATAAAAAAAAAACGATTATTCAATGATTTGTGTGACTTTTGCACTACGCTTTTAATTTCGATATCAACTCGCCGCTATTTTAAACTTTTCCAGCTTTGCGTTGGCTTTGAATAAATTTTCAACCGATTTCAAAAAAGGTTTATTTGTTACCTCAGAACTCCGTCCTTTATGAATCGATTTTAAAAGTTATTTTCGCATTGGGTTCGGTTTAGCTCCCGTGTGTTCCCATATTAATTTCATTGGTGTTCGATCTTAGACTCCAGTAAGTAACACATCAGGGAACCCGAACTTCAAATCAAATAAATGCATAGTGAGTGAGATATTAGAAGTCTGTTTTGAAAAAGTCCGTCGTTTGTTAAATAAAAGTGTAAGTGTTTTTTACGCATTTGCAACCCTAAGGGTGTTGCAAATGTCCATGGGCGGCGGTTATCACTTAACAACAGGTGAACCGCCAGCTCGTTTGTCACTTTCTTAAAAGTGTACTTTTTCCATATCAAATGTACTGCAAATGTAATCTAGACTAATTAGCCATCAGTCGGTGCTATCGGCCCGCACTCGAATCCGGAACTCGGCAGAGCGTCACAAGGCGCGCATGCTACCCCTAACGGGCTAATAGACGTTTGCTTCGATGCTGCACTACGCTGCGCCGGCGACCGGTTTGGGCCGTCGGCCTACGTCGATTGGGAGTCGCGCGCGAGCTTTTTGCGGGTGTCGCCAAAAGCCGAGGCGGCCGGGGCGCGACCGGTTTGGCCGCCGGGGCGCCCGCGCGCGTTCGGCGCTCCTCAAACAAGCGTAGGGGCTGACGGCGGCACGCTAAGCTCGCTCGACGCAACCGCGTATATGTTGCCCGCGAGAACTGCCCAGTCGAATTGCATCACGATTGCAATGAAGCCGCTAATGAAAGCGACGTTTCGACGATAAATTCCATCATGATACGACTCGGTGGCAGCTTGAACTAATAATCTTGTATTTGTACGATTAAAATACATCGTTCAACGGTAGTGCATGACGTACTATGTGGCGTTGAATTTGGCGACAGTACCCGATAGGCAATAATGACGATGGTTAGGTGTTTCCTGATCTCGTAATCCGACCGCCGGTAGTCCGGGTTAGCTATGACATTAGGACATTTATTAAACAATTATTAATTATTTTAAAGAAATGTTTGTAAAACGTCCTTACAGGATAATAGTATCTTAACGTAAGAGCAATGTTTATTAACAAAAAAAAAACAAAACGTAAATACTTTAGTACATCGCTGAACGAAGAGTGGAATAGCGAGTCAAAAATAAGGTGTAAAACAGATGTCAGAAGAGAAGGTGGAAGAAAAAGTCGTGATTATGATCATCGGAGAACGGGCCGCGATAGCTACAGTGGCCAAGCTGTTCCGCGAAGATAAAAAGGAGGAGGACTTTAACAAGCTGATAACTAACCACTAGTTGGAGAGGCACCTTAAGAAGACTCTATAAACTTGAAAATTTACGTAACGATCAAGGTTTCTTCTTTATAGCTTATATTTATAAACACAACACAACATTGCGAAAACTCATTCATCAATCATGAGCATAATCGTGTTCATGTGAGATAAAAATAAAAGTTTAATAAAAAAATCGGCAAACACGCCGACATTCGTCATCTTCGTCGGTTGAGTAAGCACCAACGATCAAATTGTAATTGCGTTATGTTACACTGCCTTTAAGCCGATATGTTAAAACCAAGACTCTTAATAAAAGCTCATCTTAAAACTCTAAAATCGGCCCGTTTAGTTAATCTGTGAACTAGTACAACATAAGGAGAACGGGTAGGGTAGTATATTAGCCAATAGGTACCGTTATCTCGTTTTATGTCCTCAATCAAGATAACATCGAGTGAGGGCTGCATCGGCACCGCGCATCAATCAGGGCTCAATGGCAGATCTCTCTCAACTAATCTCTCTTATAACGATCTTGTTACCTTGGAAAAAGTTGTTTTAAAGATGATGACAAATGTCTTGATCAGAAGATATCGTCAATGGCACTGCATTAATTGGGTGTCTATATGTGTGTGTATAAGAAGGCACAAAGCAACCATAACTTTTAAATAAATAAGCGAATAAGTTGGTTCACTAAAGGTTTTTTTACGAACTTCCATGTCACGATCTCAAAACAAAACAATAAAGTCTTCGTTTTCTCTTAAAGATTTTATTTTTAAACGTGCGTATGTATCAACTTTGATCTCCTATGTAAATAAAATGATAATGATCTAAAATGGAAAAACTGCTGGATAGATTACATTTAAATCTTCAAAGTTTTATTTTTAGGCCACTTTCTAACAAAATATTGTGATATCTTCATTTAATGGAAGGTTATTCAAGTTGTAAGAAAAAATGATTTTTATAAGCAACATGATGTGTCAGAAAACGACAGTGATGTGTTTTCTTTCCGCTAGTTAAAAAAACACGAAATACTTTATATAATAAGCAACGCAGAAGAAGTCGCGGATATCAGCTAGTCAAATAGTAAAATTATAACTAACAAAATAAACTTGCAATTGTTATTGCGTACAATGTGTATCTACGTCAAAAAAATTACCATTTATTTAAAGAAGATACAAAGAAGATGACCACGCAATTGCACGTTTAAAAAAAACAAGTTCTTAGTAAAAAGACGTTACTTCAAATTAAATGAATGTCGAATGAGCCGTTGAAATTATTTACGTTAAAATATCCTTGAAACGATCAATGACGCCGGTTTTTTTTTAATTTATGCGAGACCGCGCTGGTTTATCCGACTACTATTTTTTTCCTAACTTTTATTTGCGATGGTCAACGTTAAATAAAACTTTACGATATTCTTGATACCCTAATAGATAATAAAGTTTTTTGCTGTCAAAACTGCGACTCAAGCGCCGTTGAAAATGGTCATTCAATCTTCGCGAGTTTTAACTACGTAACCGTGATACTATCGCATACCTAAATTAATTTAAATTTACAATTTTACACTACACATTTTCCAGGGTAAAAAGTTTGGGACGGATTCCCGATACAGAACGTTCCACACAAGTCACATAAAGATAAGCCAACACTGTTTTAGCAGTCCTATATCTCTAACAAATATACGTACAATAGATATTCAATACAAACGCCCGTTGACCGTAAGTCGTATAAATGCTTGTCCCGGGTGGAAATCGAACCCACGACCTTCCAAAACCAACGCCAAAGTCAACGAAACTCGATTAAGAAACAAATTGAAACTAGAATTTACATCTCTTACTTATTTATTATGCAAATGCTGGTTTGAACCTGTAGCAATCTGGAACAAATAAATGCGCCGGGCTACGCTTCCTGTTTCATTAGTAAAGCATATTAATAATGGCGCGTCAGTGGTCTTATCGTTTATAAGTACCCTGTGGCTGATTCCCGATAATTATACCGAGGAATCAAACGTTCTATCTCGAATTATAGACTGCTTTCAACGGATCACCAGTTCGCATACTTATCGCATCATTTAAAATAACAATTGGGTAGCGTATAATTTAATACAGTTAAAACTTTAATTAGCGATTGACGTTATATTTTAATTTGTATAACAAAATCATATCGCGAGTTGAAGAGAAGAAGTTTGCGTAGTGACCTTGATGTCATCACAATAAAATAACGGGAAAGGCGAAATACAGAGAGGGCGGTCAGTGGGCGCATTTGTCCAGCAGTGGGCCGCCACGTGTGCGTAATGTAAAAAGGGTATTTGCAAATGGTAACACTGAATATAGTATGACCAGGTGGCAGTCTTTGCTGTGACACCGATGGGCAGGCTCGTCCAGGACAGTGCCACGGCCTCACAGAAAGCCGAAAGTGGGAGCATTATACGAGTCCATTACTTCTTTAAAAGCAACGTCTCTGCAACTCCATGGTTGCTGCAGATGTTCATGGGCGGCGGTTATCACTTAACATCATGTGAACATTCAAGTCACCCATCAGCTTCTCGCATAAAAAACTTTGCTGTTTTGACGGCGATTAATAAACAAGCGAGCGCTATCTTTACCAACGAAAATTTCCGGTATAAAAGTTGCTGGTCTATAACGGCCACTGTAAACCTAAATGAGCAACGTATGAAAGTGACGGACGCCATTATTTAGTTTTAGCCCATAAAGTGCGATCGCATTCCACGCTAAGAACAGCACGCGGCCGCGCTCGCTCAATCACAATTTCACGGCCAAACGAAGCCGGTTCGATCCGTCAATTACGTCGGCTTTATTACCGACCTCTCAGCAAATAGGTTCAATGTACAGGAGCCGTGTTATTATTTTTATTATTTATTTCATCAGTCCGTTGCGAACGGTAGACTAGCTTTCGCACGTACGTAAGGTATTTGGAGTTTTTGCTCGCAGACATTTCTTTAAATGTCCAATCTTTATCGGACCGAATCTTCGGTACCAACGGAGCTATATAAAAAATAATCGATGAGTATTCTCTTTATGTCTGGACCGAGGTGTGCAATTCGCTTGAACCGTTCGTTTAACTCTTGGCGACTGAACTTAATGAACGATCATTTTTTTTTATCAATCATTAATTTTAAGTCTCTTTGCAAAGTTGTAAGCATGATTTGATAGGAAACCACTATGTTTTGAACGAGTAAACAGTAATCTGTGTTGTGAAAACAATACTTTACACCGTTAGGAGATATCAATGTGGTATTCCGAATTATCGACACTTTTTAGGATTCCGTAACTAAAGGGTAAAAGGGGACCCTACTACTAATAATCCGCTGTCGGTCTGTCTGTCTGTCCGCCTGTCACCATGCTATATGACAGTTGAAATTTTCTCAAATGATGTATTTTTGTTGCCGCTATTACAACAAATACTAAAAACAGAATGAAAAATATTTAAGTGGGGCTCCTACGGTAGGTATACCCATCGTGCGCGAATCCGACTCGCACTTGGCCAGTATACATATTTATGTATATATTTTATAATATGAGCCAATCAATACTTAGGATCAGAAATATGGTGTGTTAATAACTGATGACTCCGTGGCGCATTGGCTTCAGCGACGGGGGTCGTGGATTCGATTTCCACACGGGACAACTATTTGTGTGACCCACATATATTTGTTTCGCATCTGGGTGTTTATCCACGTAAAATTTATGTTTGTAAAACGTCCTTACAACACAGGATAATGTTATCCTGAAATAAGGGCAATGTTTAAAAAAGAAAAATATTTTTTTAAAGGAAACGGAAAGGTTTTTCTTGACCATTTCTTATGTACAATCTCTTCTTACTATATATTTCTTATATTTACGCGATCATGAACGCTGTAAATTGTTAGAAAGGTGGGGAAGTTATGACTTATTAAAACTTTATCTAAAGGAAAACCTATATTCAATCACATTATCAGGTAATTTGTACACATAATATGATGTATTTATATTAAATGCAAGCGCCTGTACAATAAACAAAAAAATATTTCGAAGATATGTGAAGTCCGCCAATCCGTAGAGGTCGCGTGGTGAACAATGCCGTAACATCCTCTTTATAGAGCAGGCCTTTGCTCGGCAGTGGGACATATACAGGCTGTTACTTTACTTTTATTTCTTATGGTTTTTAGGGAGTTCCTCAGAATAAAGTGCTAATGTAAATCTGTTTCAGCCGAGGGTATGGTGGCACGACTTCGTTCTTCGGCTTTGGCAGAACATCTCACCTTTGATGAGACGCTATGGCCGATTTGAGAAATATTGGAATCACGCCAGAAAGATGTAACATCGAATGCGCCATGGCCATGGACCAATACCCACGTAGCGCGCTGCGGTTGACAAATATTTACACAAGGCACGTCTGGCACGCGACACTCTCGGCGTGGATATGTTCTAGGATCTAGAGTAGTGGGCACTGAAGTATAATACGTTAATAAAGTGCGCGTTGAAAAACCAAACCGCTGCTAAATGAGATATAAACAATTGGACACGATGAAATATAGAATAGAGAATGGATTTGATAACTTTACAATATCACGGTTACCATATTTATATTTTATGCATCCATATAGGTGTGCTTCGTTGTATCGAACTCACACCTCATTTTAATTGATTATATACAATCGTCAACTAAGCAAGAGTATACAATATCTCAATTTATTGTTTATTAACGCTCGTTCCGTTTAAAGCGACTCAACGCCCTCATACAACAATATACCTTTATATTAGCGTATATTGAACGATGGAAAGAATTAATGATTAATTTCGTAATATATTTTCAATCAATTCATAAAAATATGCAATTATTATTGTTATAAATAAAGCAGTACCTACTCAGGAATCAGTCAATTTGAAAATCCATATTTTTTTTACATATTAACTTATTAAGATATTTTTATTTATTGTATATAAAAAGTGCAAAAGGATATCAAAACGACTTGAAGTTATAGAATGTTCTTTATATTACTTCGTCGAGGTCGTATAACGTGCACGCACTTTAACATGAATGGTATTTATGGTACGGCGTTAAGGCCCATAGACAGAAAAAAATTGTCGATGGTTTTCAGTGCCCGTGTACATTTTATATCAAAGTAACGACTGGACTTGTTTTGTTGTTGCTCTATAAAGGAACATGATCCGCTTAGTTAGAACAATTACTTCGTTATCATACCCGTTTAATTTGGTAATATTTTCTTTCGGTCGAAAAAACATGAGAACCTCACCGAACGGATGACATTTCCCAAGCGAAAAAAAAAAAACTAAACCTGTGAGCGAAGATAATTTGAAAGGAATTTGATAGAGAAGATAATTTTAAAGCTTATTAAGAAATAAACTTCCCTGGCGTATGCTTACAGTTTCGGTAAAAAACCGTTACTGTTTAACCAATGCAATTTACTTACAAGCTTCGATTACTAACATTATTGGTACATTGAGAAAAAAATATAAAAATCCTACCGAGTACTTCGCATCGCGCGAATATCTAAGACAAAAAAAAATTCGCAAACACATTCCAATGTACGATTCAGCGGTGGTTTGGCCAAAGGTCACGAGACGTCGGCGGTGGTGCGGTCTAAGGCGGAACGCGTTCGCTAGGATATTCACCTGGCAGTCGTGCTGGTCGTGGTACGAGGTGACTAGCTGGCTCACGTACTCCCAGACCTCGCCGGGAGCCGTCCAGGCGGCGGGATTGGCCGCGTGCCGCATCATGCCATCACCCGACGGTATCACCGCACCGCACTGATCACCTCACAACGCGCGAACACGGGTCGACACAAACTGGACACGTCACTAGCTATTTATAAAGTTTCATCCTCCAACAACTAGGTCGCGGGCCACATTCGCGGACGCCCCGCTGGAACCGCAGCGATGTTTGTAAACAATCGGCGAATTGTTCAGGGCACTATCTTTATCTTTTCGCCGTTTCGCGATTGTTATAATGTCACACAGGCTGCGAAAGTTATTATTAGAGAATGTTTATCACTGAAGAATTTCACAAGGCCGCATCTCGTCGAGCCAAAGTCCAAAAGCAACAAACACTGAAAAATTCCAACGCGTTTCAAAAACTGTTAAATTTAAAGACGAATTATTAAGGTGGCAATTGCACGCAGGATTTTCGATTATGCACTATCCGATCGACATCACTGCCGCGGCCGCTGATTACGTGCGACCCTGAGCGGAGCGCCGCTGATAAGAGAAATTTGGCGGGCGTTCCCCGCCCCGCGCGCGCTTATCAGCCTCCGCGTTCTCATTAGACGAAATCGTTCGCGCGCTTTCGCGTATTCACTGATCCGTGCCGATGGACGACCTGTCGCAATACGCAATACGCTACCCGGGCCGGCACTGGAACCGTGGATCGGGTGAAACACACACAGACACACACAAACACACACGATCGCGCGCGAGCGGACGCAACACGCGGCGCGATCGCTCTGTGGGACGCGCGCGCGCCTCACCGCGGGCCCGTTAATGGACGGCGCGCCTCGCCCGCGGCCCCCACCACCGCGGCGGCGCGCTATCAAACCAGTTGCACGTGAAAAATTCCAAATGCCCCTTTAGCGTTTTCCTCCCCCCCACCCACCCCATGCGATTCGCGCCGCGGGAAAAGCGCAGCGCCCCCCCGCGGTGGTGCCGGAAGTGCACGGCCGCACGCGAGCCTAACGCGCCCGCCCTCGCCTTAATTAAATGCACGGCGGAAATCCAGGCCGAAGTCGACTACACCAGGGCCGAGAGCCAAGCGCGTCCCGTGGACTAAAACGTCACACGCCTATACGAGCCGATACAGCACTAAATCTACGGCGATCGATCCGAATCGCAAAACGGCGTAAACATCCCACGGCGCGTGGGTTTTGACTGAAGACGGTTGTCGCGACTTGAGCGGGGGATTACAGACAATATTTCTCTTTCCAGACGGTTTGCGATAAACAAATTTCGGTTTCGTGGAATTGTTAATCTCGTTCGCAATATGGAATACCCAATAGACTCGATATATCATATATTTGAGAAGAAATCAATATCTAAGTATATATGAGTTTTGACGCATCAAGTGAAACGCCTTAGCTAAAACTTAGAATTATATTAATTAATAAAATGTTATTGTAAACAATATAGCAGTAACAATAAGTTACACACTGCTAGGTCAAAAAAAAAATTTTTAAACGAAAAAACACTTCAAAGAGTATTGCAGGAATTAAACAAAATCAGTCGTCAAAATATCTGACACAAATTTAACATCAATTTTTCGCAATACGTCTTGTTAGTTTTATGCTTTGTCTGCGAAAATTTAACGATATATCGCAACAGTTCAAACAATAAGTACGAATTAAATAAAGCCCGTAAACGCGAACACACAATGAGTGAGGCGCGTTACGAACGCATAAATTAAACGTTGTAGAATAATTGACGCAAGTTCGATTGATCCAAATCTCGAGCACGCCTCGTTTGAGTATAGGTACGGCGCAAAAATAGCTATCTGGGACGCGAGTTCTGGCCGCCCTCTAGTATTTATTGGGTTGGTAGGACGATCCGAATTGCGTAGTGGGAAGTGTAACTGCCTCCTGCGCCAGAGGGTGTGGGTTCGATCTCCACTGGAAAAATATTGTGTGATGGACATAGTGTTTTTCTAGTGTCTGGGTGTTTATACAGCGTGTCGTTACCATCGCGACAAAAAATGAACACACGTCTAACGCTACTTGCCAATAATCATAAAAAAATATTAACGTTAAACAAAATCCATAATTAAAAAAAATATTTTTCAAACAAACTAATTAAGTAAAAAAAAAAACAAAATTTGTAACATCCTATACAACTCGCGCCACAACGTCGCATTACAAGCCTCTCTTTCTAACAGTATGTTTTGTCTCTTTTAAATTCATTCAACCCATTCATATGCTTTGTGACCTTTACAAATGAACTTCACGTTACGCTTTTATAGGTAAGGGTGTTCTAAAATTCTTTGTTTTGGAAAATTTAATAAATCTGTAAATATTGATGTTTAAAGAATTTAAATGTTTAATACAACTTTAAAAACTTATCCCCTATATGTGTGTTCATTTATTGTCGCGATGGTAACGACACGCTGTATATGTGTAATATGTATTTATTTACAAAAGAAAAGTTTGTTTATCAGTTATCTAGTACCCATAGTACAAGCGTTGCTTAGTTTGGGACTAGAGAACGTTGTGTAAAAATGTGTCCTAAAAATATTTTAAAAAAAAATAAAAAAAAGTCCATTGACTCGGCACACCTTTGCTGTGTACTCCTTTCCTTATCACCGATCTGTTGGGACGAATCCTCGCTTTTAGTCATTTCATCATGGTCCTAAAGGGTTAATGACGTTACCATTAAAAATACATTGAAGACGCACAGTTGACCTACTGCTTCATATTGAAACTTTTATTCATTATTGATCTTACTATTCTGATAAATAATCAATGCAGCACCTTTAATTCCTCAATCTTAAGTTAATGACAAAAATTGATAAATACCAAACAATCAGTCCGAAACAGTACTGTTAGACTAAAACTCTAGAAGATAAAAAAACAGGTAGGACTAGTACAAACCACTTACCTATGTTAAGTTTATTACTTTGCTAACACGATAAACAGTGAGCCTATCGCAAGTACTGAACAAAGTATGCGGTAGTGACTTTTTAACCCCAATAAGAGTCCTTAGCCATCATTCAAAGAACGAAGAACATACGTGGGAAGGTTATATTTTACTTAACAACACTAAGAAAATTGCTGGAAGTAATACAATATTTTTTTTTTAATTTTAACAGCCGGTGTTGCCAATGTGTAATTCAGATTCATTTCTTAATTCAGTTCTATTTTTTACTAGCTGTGTGCCCGCGACTTCGTCCGCGTATAATTTAAAATAAATTAAATTTCTAAGATAAAAGTAGCCTAAGTTACACATTATTACATCAGCTATCTGCCCGTGAAAGTCCCGTCAAAATCGGTCCGGCCGTTACAGTGATTAGCCGGAACAATCAGACAGACAAAAATTATAAAATAAAATGTTTTTGTACCGTGTCTACATCGTTATTTTTATGTGTATATCGTTATTTTAATATTACAAAAAGTACTCCAATTTTAACTATCCATATATGTTTGAACTCCGTTACTAATAAAATTATTTTAAAATTAATTTTTACACTGGGTTCGGTTTAGTTCACCTTGAACTCCGGAGATACATAAAAATGTACTTGTTTGTTTATGATAGCACAGTTACTGCAGGTACAACTTAGGTGCGATTCTCACCCAGGATAAGTATTTGTTAGCTAAAAGAAATATTCTGGTTCTGGGTTTTTTTACGTTCAATATGTAATTGTAAAACGACCCTTAACAATGTTCGCTCAGGAGTCGATACTGTTTTAGAAAAAAAAACTTTGTTATTTCAGGATATTTTGTTTGAAAATAATAATATGTAGTACACACGAAAAGATATAAATTATATAACCAGACTACATTTAGGATTTACCATCTTTCAACTATTTTTGGTAAGCCGAAAGTAATGGACGTTTACAAATACGCAACGTGTATTTAAGACACGTCATACGTTTCATTCTGCTCCATAATATATGATGTTATGGGGCTCGCACCTAAACACCCTACCGTCATTCTGTCAGAAAAGGGTTACAAGTCTCCATCACCTTGTTCAAGCGCACCCCTATAGCTGATACAATACGAAATATTTCAATATGAATTGAATATAACTCATTGTCCTCGTATCATAATATTCAGCGATAAATAAAAAGATCGAGCGCAGGGATTGGCCACCGCGTCGAGTTCGACGAGTTAACAAGAATAAAGAGATCTTTTTATTACCCGCAAAGGTATTAATGTTGAATTCTTTTGGGACATCCCTACGAACAATATTGTTTGTTACGAATAAAAAAAATCCTTTCATTGTAACAGACGTTCAACGCAATGCATATTTAGTAGTATTCAAGCTACACATGGCACTAGATAATTATAAATATCTATCAATAGTAAAAACACCAGCACTTATTCAATTTTACTGTGGTAGACAAAGACCTGTTGCAACTGAACATACATGCTCCTATAGAAAGATAGGCCAGCTCGAACGAGCAAGAAGCGCAACCTCACGAAAGACCGGCATGAGGTAAAAAAAAGTTAAAAGTAAAAAAAATATATGTGTGTACTGTACTAGGGGCGGTCAAAAAGTTCGCGGATTGAAGGGATTGGTGGGGGTCGTTTAATTAATACAGGTAGCAGAACTGCTCATTAAGGATGTAAATACCAATTTTCAATCTAATCGGGTTATCATCATTAACCTTTGAATTATCGACCAGTGAACAAGTCAATCGGGAAGAAATCAGCCACTATGGACAAAATTGAATACCGCGCCGTCATTAAGTTCCTTACCAAACTGGGAAAATCATATGAAACCATTTTCTAAGAGATGTTAGCAGTTTACAGGGACTCTGCCCCTATTAAAACCATGGTTTAAAAGTGGCATGGCCTTTTTAAGTAAGACCATTGAAGATGACCATTACTCCGGACGGCCAATTGACGACACCACTCCAGAAATCATCGAGAAAGTAGAAAACATTGTATTGAAAGACGTCCGACTGAAGAAGGAGCAGCTAGCAGCAATGGTTGGAGTACTGAAAAGACCATTTTAACCATCCTACATAATCATCTTGGGATGGCTAATGTCAGTGCATGATGGATTCCGAGAATGCTTACGCTCCAAAAACCCGAGCGTGGCGTGAGCATCGCCAGTTTTAAAGAGCTCTGTGAAAACAATAAAGAAGAAGTTATAGCCCGGATCGTTACAGTAGATGAAACTTGAGATCACCACTACGAACCTGAATCAAAGCAGAAGTCGATGCAGTGGCATAAAATAGACCCCTCTCAAAAAGTACAGGGTGTCGCAATCGGCTGGGAAAATCATAGCGATGATCTTTTGGGATTTAGAAGGTATCTTACTGATTGATTATAATATAAGAACGAGGTATCACGATTACGGGCCAATACTACGCTTCCTTATTAGAAGGTTTAAAGGAGTCTATCAAGAAAAAAAGAACAGGATAATTGGGAAAGAGCGTGCTCCTTTTGCAAAACAACACACCCGTGCACACCAATCGAGTTGCGACTGCGTCTGTTCATCGATACGGCTTCGAACAACTGCAACACCCACCGGCCATCCCACAGTCCTGACCTAGCCCCTACTGATTATTATTCCCAAAATTGAAGAAAGAACTACGTGGATGAATGTAACGATGATGAAGAAGTCAATTCAACAATTTCGGTTTTATTTTATTATTTTTTATTTATTTATAAAAGGTACACCAAAAACATGTTCAAGGTACAATAAAAGGTTAGAAGTACACATAATTAAATTATCATATGAACACATCAATAACAGGCGTACACCTCATTCACGAATAGTAAATAGATACGTGCTGTACAAGAAACTAATATAGAAACTATAAAATGTAATAACTTATGTAAAGAGGTAACATAAACTTATTAACATAAACATATAAAAACATTACAAATATTATTCGGACGATTCATAACTGTCTATGTAGTTTTTTGAGTTCTGAATTAGAATTATGGAATATGTCAATTGCTTGGTTCCTGCATTCAATTGTGTTATAACTGGAAACATGCGGTTGATGGGTGAATTACAGCCAAGATTTGTACGGCTACTTACAATCCAAAACGTTTTATTGTTTTTACTCGCTCGAACAAGAGAATTTCGTGGAACTTTTAAACCTAA